AAATTATGGGTCACAACACCACCTTCATATTTAAAATAATTTATCTCATTTCAAAATGGCGGATCCAAGATGGCAACCGAAAAAAATACATCCCTCATAACCAAGTAAAAATAGGTTGACAATGACTGGTGGTGTATACTTATCTTTATCTAGCACTATTTTGCGATTATGTTCTTAGTTTGGAAATGCACAATGTTAAAATGGGCTAAAATTAAAGTTATAAAAAGTTTTCATAAATTTAGAATGGATCAAGATTTTTTAAACGGATTGCAGCGTCATATTCAGCGTAAAAATCTAGTTTGAAACAATGGGTCACAACCCTACCTTTACATTTGAAAAAAAACTTTGTATCCAAAAATGGCATCCAAAAATGTATACCCCTTCAAAATGAAGTACTTACTACTCTACAATGATCTGACATGGTCCGGAGTTGATATCTTAAGAAATGTAAAAAAAGTAGGGTGGGAACACATTTAAAACTCACCCTGTATAGACTATTATTGTGCCTAAACAAGATTAGTTCTTAATCCTATTCTCTAATAATGAGCTATAACTCGGTATGCGTTTGAAGATATTTAAACAGATGGAATATGGATCGTAAAGGAAAACAAAAATATCTATATATCGAAAAGAAATCATTGATAATAATGAGTGTTCCCCTTAACAGGAAAGTACCATAAATTTATTTATCTTTATTTATGTAAAAACCACAATAGATAGAAATATGCAGTTTGCGGGAATCATCTATTAACGTAGGGGGCCCAATTGTTTTGAATTCAACGTTACATTCACATTCCCCCCCTCTCCCCCCTGCCACCAACTTATTTTTTTTAAATAGCAAGGTACCCCTTGTGACATATCAAATAAAAAAAGAGCATGACAAAAGAAAATGTTTTGTGAAAAAAAAAATTGAAAATCGGTTCATGAATTTGTGAGATAATCCCCCCCCTTTCCCACTACCGATAACTTTTTTTAAAAATAGCAAGGTACCCCTTGTGACATATCAAATGAAAAATGAATTTCACCAAACATTTTCTTTTTTCATGCTCTTTCATTTGATATGTCACAAGGGGTACCTTGCTATTTAAAAAAAGGAATGGGTTAGGGGAAAGGGGGGATTATCTCACAAATTGATGAGCCGGTTTTCAATTTTTTTCACCAAACATTTTTTTTCATGCTCTTTCATTTGATGTGTCACAAGGGGTACCTTGCTATTTAAACAAATTAAGTTGGGGGCAGGGGGGAGAGGGGGGGAATGTGAATGTAACGTTGAATTAAAAACAATTGGGCCCCCTACGTCAATATGTAGATGATTCACGCAAACTGCATATTTCTATCCATTGCGGTTTTTACATAAATAAAGATGCAAGTTTTTTAAAAAACACCCTTTATATTTATATGTGTGTGTGTGTGTCCGTTAGTACGATAACTCGAGCAAAAATGATCCGATTTAGATTAAATTCGGTACAAACGTGTAAACCTACATTTTTTCAAACAAGTTCGCGAACCAGCATGATCGGACCATGGGAACGGGGGTTTATAATAAAAATTGGTTTTTCTAATTTTTGCCCATAAAAACATAAAATTTTGCAATTTATTTTGAAACCATTTGGTAGGGCTCAAAAAACAAACAATTTACTTGAGTATATTTAAGTGTTTTCATACACCTAATAGTTACGGAGAAAATTCCAAAAAATTTTAAATTTAAAATTGTTATTCTTATGGAGAATAAGAAAACTTGTTGTAGTTTTCTTCTTTATGGACATATTTTGATCAAATTTGGAAAATGCATTTATTTCATACTAAACTATTTAACATTTTACTAAAAACACTTTTGTACCCTCCCTGTCAGCAAACCCAAGTACTGTACTCGTTAAACTAGGGCTATTTAAATGGGAAATAAATATGATAAGGGATATTTTAGTGTAAATCCAATCAGGCAAATAGAAATTCGCTTAGTCTGCAGGTTTGCTGCGGCGGGGGTATTTTAAAATATTACAATTAATGACAAATGAAGTATACCTTTTCTAGACTTGCTGAAAAGTTGATTAAGTGTGGTTCTCGTCAACCTATTGAATAAAGTGGCCATAAAATGCCTAAGGAACAGGATGAATCAAGTATCATTTTCTACTACAGTATGGAAATATAATAAATACAATTTTTCTGTTGGGATTATAAAATTGCTTCTATCGATTAATACTGTAGAATGTTAACTTCTTCTAGCCTAATTGATAGTTTTTTATAAGGATAATTAAGTGAAACAAAACTGCCAGGTACCTAAACTATATTAACTACTATATAAATAGCATTGAGTTTTTAGAGCATTAGTTGATATGTGGGGCAATTATTATTTGTCCTACTTAAGCTAAGTTAGCTTTCGAGGTCCAATTTATTTCTACTTTTTTCTTTTTAACATCTTTTTATTTTCTATATTTAACTTAAGCTAACAAAACCGATTGCCGGAGAATTGTTATTAATATTTCTTAGTTCGTTTTTAGGAAGAATTAGAAAATCTTACTAAAACACATTATTGCTTGGCTCTGAAAATTTTATTTGCAACAAATTTATATTTTGTTGATTTTGCTTAACGCGTAAAAAGATGTTTGAACTAAACGGTTATAAATACAATTTTAACCTTTCTCAAAGTTTTTAACCATTATTGTTGTTCATTTTGTAGAGATTTAAGTTGTTATTTTACGAATTCACTACTGTACTACCTTAATTAGAATTTAAAGAATGATTCATTGAACACTTAGGCATATGTTACACTTCTACTAATATATATTGCAGTTATTCGAGTACTTTACAGTGATAGTTAAGTGTAACCGTACAACTTAGTATGATGCCACTTATTACAACCTACAACTGTGGTATGTCAAGAGCCAAAAATACCTTCAATGAAACACCAGAAATAGCAAGAAGCAAAGCAGACAGCAAGCTGCATTACTAGTCTTGGCTATAGAAACTTTCCTTCTATGCTGAAAAGACTAACTCTAGAGAGTCTACAATGCAGTAATTTTAAAAGCAAAATAATATAATTAAAAGGAATCAGAGAAGGATAAATGTACCAATTATTACCAACTTTTTTGTTTTGTAACATTTATTTTCTAATCCTAAGTAGAGATTATTGCTGTAATACGAAAAATGGCATACAGTATGTGGTGTTTTGTTTTTTACAATAACTTCTTAATCAGCTAATTTTATATAATATAAAAATATAATTTTAACACTTGAAACATATTTACACTTATAATGTTTTAATTAGATAGTAAATACAATAATTATGAAAGTTGGTATTAGTGATCAATTGTGATTTGACACTCCAATCATCATCCAACATCACAATCTTTTTAAACAGTACGAGTATAAATATATATTCAAAGTATTATTAGACATATTTTTATTTACTTTCTGTTTTTAAAATACAGAAAGGCCTTCCCCAAAAGCAATGGCATTTTGCTCTAGCTCAACCATTTTGGCCGTAGTTTTTCTCAAGCTAATATGAATCCAGCAGTGTTGGTTGCGATTGATCAAAAACAGATTTAAAATTTAAGAAAACATCCTGTTACTACAACCATAGATAAAACACTTCCTTAGTAGATTTGTCATCCTTATGGATCAGCTGAAGATAATTTTATCGTCTGTTCCATCCGGTGCCACTAGGATCGTGTTTTTGTTTACAATTTGTTATTTCAGTTATTTAAAGCCTCGTTTAACAAAAAAAAAAACATCTAATCATAAACAAATCATGAAGTTTAAGCCTATAATAAAGTAACAAGATTTTGTCGACACTAGCATGAACTAGACACGAAAATCAATCTTCAAACTATACAAGGATTAGAAGTCTACTCGTGTTAGTCTATGCTACAACTTCTTGCAAGTTATGACTGTAGAGTTTTTATAATTTGAAATACCTAACCATTTCCAGTCGTCCAAAAATTGTGTTCCGGTATTTGGAAATGGTTACTGGTGTTTGATTAACCATTTTTGTAGTTTAAATTTACACCCTAACATGTGTGTATAAGCAACCTCATTAATTGCAAGCTAATATAAACCAAATGTCACATTAATAATAAATTGTCTTGTCACACTATACTGTACTTATGTTGTTTCACCAATATCTCCCGTCTTCTTTTCAGTAAGAAGGCTGAAGTGTTCTATCTCCAATAGGTTCTTCTGTATCTTATACTACAGTATTTTACACTCCAATCTTCCAACTATTATGGAAACATGTTATGGGTAGTAGCTCTAGGGCCAAAACCGTTTTCAGAAAAAACGCTGAGAATAAATGCTTGATATCTCAAGCTTAATCATTAAAAAATCTTACTTGATTAAACATAGAATATTGGTACCGGTATGTATATTAATTTTTCAGAATTTGTTATATGTTAAGAAAACTATATCCTCCTTCACAAAACACAACACTTCACACAGCTGATACTAGAAAATGCAACAAGCTGGATATTCCAATAGTAAGATTTTAAAAATTAATCAACATTTATAAATTCTTGACACGACATTATAATGAATTATTGCCTGTTTTGTTTCAAAAGCAATGTTTTGATACATTTGGAAACAGTTTGCTGGAGGTGCCCCATGGCTGTATGATGTTGGGAGATCTTCAGGAACATCAAATATCTAATATAGTTTTGTTACTGTTGTGACCTGTAATTTTACTTTTATAAATAAACACGACCCGTTTTATAAATGTTTATTTTGATTTTGACGTTGTCAATTATATTTCTGTACCAAATAACAATTACGATATTCTTATTCTGGTTCTTATGTTGTGATAATGAATTCAAAATTGTAACAGACTGTCAACCAATCAGTATATGTTCAACTGATTTGACAAGTCATGTTCAAACATGAAGCAGAGCCAAGCTGACTGAACTTTCCGGAAGGAATACAATTCTATTTTTATATCTCCATCAGTTCCTATCCCTGAGTGTTGAATTTTACGTAGAACTTTGTGACTGAGTCGCAGCATGCAGTCGTAATCTACAACTCAACCTGTGTATTTATATCTCCTGGCACTGCTTACGCCTGCGTCACTCTTCTTGTCCGCTCTTCAGTCAGTGGCTAGAACTCGGAGAGAAAAGGTGAATTGATAACTGGGTAAGTAGTTTATTTTATCACTTTTTATTTTTAATTTTATGCAAATTGGTTTTCTTAAAAAAGTCTGCACTTAAAATGTCTATGGAAGTTGTGTTGAAGGTATCGAAAAGGTTTTGTATTTACAAGTAACATTAAGCTCGTTAATTTACACTGAGTGGGTAAAAGTTACTAAAACTGTTACGCAGTTTTCAAACGATTCTATTCTTAATCTTTTTTGCATTCATCAAAAATACTTTCTTTGACTCAATAGCAGCGAAATGTTAAATATAAACAGTAGAATATATATTTTAAAAATCAATCTCTTTAAAACTTATTCACACAGCAAATGAAAACTGTTTGATGAAAACTGAACCGACTACATAATACATAGTGGTTGTTACAGAAACAACCACTTCATATCTGGTTACTTTCTAACGATTGAGATCACTCAATCCAACTGTTTGTGGAATAGATAATTTTCATTTCAAATGGTTAGTAGATTCTAGATAATATAAATAAAAAGAAACAAAACACACACCTTATAAAGTAAAATAATATATTAATTCTCAATTTTGAAAAAGTACGTTACATTATAATTTAAGGTACAGTAGAACCTCTTTAATCCGAACTAATTGGGACCAGGGGTAGTTCGGACTATTGAATAGTTCGGATTACAGAACATATTGTTGTTTTTACATAACAATAGCTAAAACATGGCTAAAATTGATTAACATTATTTTGGGGAAAGTGAAAAAATGTTTTATAAAGTAAAATACAGTGTTTATTTAATACAGTAGTAAACATGGTGAATAAACAGTACTGTACATTAAATACAGTATACAATAAAGAACTGCTGTACTGTGTATAGAGTACAGCAATGAGGGGTTCGGATTAGTGGATGTTCGGATTACGGGGGTTCGGATTAAAGAGGTTCTACTGTACATTAAATTTATATTTTATATTGATTTTGCAGCTGCAAATTATTTTCTGGGATTAAATACAGCTATTGACACAATGGATACAGTAAAACCTTGATAGCAAGTCTTTTATGGAAATTATAAAATAAGACATTCTTTATTTCAATATTTGTGTACTTTAATTAATAATACTGGGTAGTTTTTTCAAATGCAGCCCAAATTACAAGTACAGTAAGATGCTTTTTTACGACAAAACAAGCTCATAATTTGGTATCCATGTTTTCTTTACTTCATTGCCAATCAGCTGATTTACATTGTTGCATGTAGTTTATTTATAATGAGTTTTAGTGTTACTGGGAGCTTATTGTGAATAAGGCCGGCGCCACACTATCCCGTTTAGCGGGATGCGTTTTTACCGCATTGACATTACCCTGTCACACCTTCCTGTTCTACCGCAACATACTTTGAGTGAAGAGCTTGAGCATCACATGCTGAGCACTGTTGAAAGTGACAACAGTAGGGATAAACAACTGGATAGTGTGGCTGCTTTCATTTAACTGCATGCGTTTCGCCTTCCATCCCGTCGTCCTGCTACGCCGCAGCAGCATGCAGTCGATCCTGTCGATGCACCGCAACCACATCAATGTGACCGCTCCAATTAAAACCTATGCGCTCAAATCATCCCGCCAAACGGGTCCCGTTTGACCGGACCGGCGAAACGGGATAGTGTGGCGCCAGCCTAAGACTCAGCACGCTGTTTTCGCAAGCACAAAGAGTATGTATTGTACATTCAAAATAAATCATTGGTTTTGTGCCAAGAAAGGTTTGAAATCAAGTTTCCAGGTGTGACTCCAGTGCCTAAAAATCAACTATTTATGGAATAATAAATTTTCAAACATTTAAGGAAGCTGGTTCTGTAAAAAAACAATCAAACATCCTCCCATTCTCTATTTGACCTTGCAAAAATATAGTTTGAGTCTTAATTAAAATAAATTCTCAATAACACTAAACCTCTTAACAATTAAATATTAGCTGATTGGCAATAAATTAAAGAAAACAGGGATACCAACATTTTTTTAATAAAAATAATGTGTTTGTTTGATTTATAAACAACAATATTTATGGCATGTTGAATTTGGTGAACTATTTTGGATTTTCAAACTGTGTGTATAAACAAAGAGCCCACTTCCAATTTTATTTTACAGCTAGACAAATAAACATTTGACTTTCTTCCGAAAGTTTAATAGTTATCATAAATTTTAAAATCTATTAAAAGAGCTTTGAAGTTGATGTTTTAAGTCGTGCTTTTACTTCCTTTTATAATTAGCATTTTGCATTATTTTCTTGGTTTTAAAGGAGATTATGATGGTTACCATACTTACAACTATTTCCATCCTTAAAGGTAAAACTTCAAGTTCAGCAAAGAACCTACAAAATATAAGTAATATGGAACTATTCTATTTTCAAAACATAATAACTTGGTTTGAACAATCATTCTTTTAAACAGTTTTATTAAGTAGTTAGTGGTAATTCAGAGTCTTAAATTGTGTTTCTACAAAATATCTAATGCTTCTAGCTACTGTAATACCCAAATAGATCATCAAAGTAAAACCCATTTAAATTTTTGTTATTTGGGTTTTTACGCCTCGATGTCTTTAAGAAAAACGGAAAACCAATAACTTTTTTGCTCTACTAGTATTTTATTATTTATTTATACTATTGTTTTCCAACAAACAACTCTGTTAACTGTGTAAAAATTGTTGTGATGCTTGTAAATAAAAATGATGGTTGAAAACTAACCTCAGCTGCTGCCCTTCATCATCCTACATAAAGCTTTCAATGGTTTCGACTAAAGAAACAACTGTTCTTAGTAAGTCAAACAGCCACACAAGGTATCATGCTCCATTATACACTCAGCCTTCACTGATATTCTGGTTAATGTGAGAATTGTGTCCCTGTCCCATTGTAATGGTATAATTATAATGATTTTTTGCCAATCTTATACAACATAGGTTTAAAGAATAGTAATCATATGTTGATTTTTTTTTAATTCATAGCAATAGCCATTTTACTATCTTTAAGCAGCTGACTTTAAGGGTAGTTAATAATGGTACAAACTTAACGATAACAGTCTTTGGGAGCTCAAGACATTTTGATAGGACTTGGCTCTCGCAGACCATTGCCAAAACAAAACAGTAATTTTATACTTGGTACAGGGTGTTAACTTTTGTTTTAAGTGATTCAACATAGGTTGGTTTCTAATAATTTAATTCTTATTTTGTTTTACTTTCTCCTCATGCACAGTATTTAGTAGACATATTGAACAAATTCAGGTAATATCTACAATTCCTAAGAATTAAAAAATAAACAATATCAGCAAACTGACACATATACTTTCTCCCATTAGCTTGTCAAAATCGCTTATAATATGGCTAGGCAGCAGGAGTAACTAAGATATTTTATGGGTATAATCACAAAAATTGGAAAAACTTGTAAACCATTTTTTCAACAAATTTTGGAGTTGTACCATTAAACAAAATGTTTAAGGTTTAGAGTTGAAAGGACTACTAAATTGAAAGCAAAATCGTTTGAGCCGTTTTATGAAAATCAGATTTCTTTTGTTTAAAGGGTTTTATAGGAAAATCACCAATCAAAATTTCCAAAAAATAAACTTAAAAGACGTGGAAATACTATGGATAAGTACTCACATAGCAAATTTCATAAAAATCGGATGACAGGTTTAGTATGTACCCAGCAAACATCCACTAACATACACATCACTTCGCAAACCACTATTATGGGTTCAGGGGGACCCAAAATGGACATTTTCACCCAAAAAACAACTTCAAACATTTTGAAAAAACAATACTTTCTCCCTATATAGAGGGAGAAAGAAGATAAGACTTCTAAACACTACCTAGTAAGAAAGAATGTCAATATCCTTGTGTTAAAACTCGGTAACTAATTGTTAATCTTTAGAAATAAATTACAAATAGAAACTGAGTACATAAACAAAAAACGATAGCGAAGTATAACGCCACTGAAGATTACTTCTCTTATGTAGTCAGCTGTATAACAAATTTAAACTGGACTTCTACAAAAAGTCATGATCTAATAGCATAATCCTACCTTGAAAACTGATGATAATTTGTTTACATAATGCCAAAATCTAAAAACATGTTTAGGCTAGTGTTGGGGCTCATTATGTTTTTCAAATACTTTGAGCATTGTTGCACATGGAACAAATTATTATTATTTTAACGTATTACATGAGTTGAATACTCTCCCCATGAGAAATACCCAGCCGAACCTTCAGCTAATTTGCTATAGACAATTAATAGACGAGCATTATATACAAGATACAATATAAACAAGCACTGTGAGAATCAAACTGTAATCACTGACATATCAAAGCTGTAAAAAATAACACAAAATACAAATTTATTAAATACGAGCAATTAACAATAATCGAGTGATTTATTTAAACTATTGTTGTTACATAATGCATTGACTAACTATGCTCTAAAAGCAAACAGCAAGAGCAAGACATGGCTAAAAATAATAACTGTTTCATTTGCTTATACAAGGGGGATAGTGAAACGAAGCCAAGAGCTTAAGCACCTTCCGCTTATAATTTGTCATTTATATCTCTTTAAAAACGCTTACTGCTTATTCACAGATTAAATATAAACATTGTGTAATACTACTCGATACATGCTTCTTACAAAAAAAAATATATGCTTTTATTCAAATTGGATGGTATATACTTTTGATAATTGGATGATTGAACAGCTTGAAATGTATCTAATGTGTTATATTTGAGATAGTTTTATTTTTAACTCATATTATTTCTTACATTTTCCACAAACAAATTCTTGTCAGTAATAGCAACTGTGATTTAACTTTGTGGAAAAAGTTCTGCTTTTTTTTGTTAATTTTATATTTCTTTTTATATATTCAGCGGCTGACTGAATTAAGTAAAGCTCATATTGATAGGATGCGTATTAGATAGTTAAATTAAAGAAATACATAACATAGGTGCCCATTAACATCTAAAGCACTCTTTAATGTAAGACACAGTTTGTATAAAACTTGGTTACAACTCTAGGGCGAATTCCAAATCATCATTCATGTTATTGATTTTGTAACTGATAGAAATCATGGATGTCTAAGGTCAAAGATGAATCTGAAATTTGGAACGATGACATCTTCTTTTGGCACAAAACCAAATTTTGTAATCTTTTGGCTTTCATTTTCTACCTTTTGTTTATATTATAAACAAAAGCAACTATTTCAAACTACAAGATAATTTTGCAAGTATTCACATACTATAATTAGTTTGGTTAAGTATTTTTACGACAATATATTTCTTATTAAATCATAGGGTAACATCCAATCATATAAAAATTTGACTGTAATTATAATAAATCACATTGATAATTTTTCTGGTATACCCACATTTAGGTACATAGAACCATGCTCCAACGCAAAAACATTCTGCATGAAATCGTAGTCTAATGTAACTGCGTACACAAGCTGCACAACACCATCAGTCACCGCGGAATAATTTCAACAGAGAACTCTGGGGTGCTTTTTCTTACACAAGATTTTTTTACATCTGATTTTCAGGTTAAAGCATGTTTGATTATATCCACAAGCTAAACAAACTTTCCAGACTATCTATTTTTGCATTGATTGAATATCTGTCTGTGATTTATTTTCCTTTTCATATTTGAGCGAATAAAATAAAAACAAATATTATACACAAAACACACTGTACTATCTCTTTTGCATTTGGCGATCATGAACAGATTGTAGGTGGCTCGGCAGCATCCGATGGCTCCACAATGTGTGTACATCTCAACAGAACTAGCAGAACTTCCTCCAGTGGGTGGCATGTCACAGTTGGTTTAATACGCTAGTGTGTAGGACAACATTTAGTTGTCATCACTACTTTCAATAACAATTCATTTAAATTCCATGTTGATGGCCCCTGGATTACTATAAATAACTATAATATGGTATAATTACCTCGTCAAGTAATCCAAATTTTGTTGATGTTAGGTTAAAAAACCTACATGTTCCACCGTGTTCACACGTCATTGTCAGGGTAAAAAAACATAAACAACATTACTGTCACACACACACACACAATAATAATTGAATAATTAATATTTGAGTCTACTACCTGTGCTGGGTCGTGTGTTAGGCCTATCTCAATATCCGTTCGTGCTTTTTATTGATTGTGTGCCTGTGGCAGTAATTTAGTTATGTTTTTTTTTACCCTGACGATGCCGTATTAATGGTGAAATGTGTAGGTTTAACCTAACATCAACAAAATTTTGATTACTTGACGAGGTAATTATACCATATTATAGTTATTTATTTATTATTATTATTTATTATATTATTATTAATATATTTTATTATATATTAATATTAATATATATTATTAATATATTACAATATATTATTATTTATAGTTATTAATAGTAAATTTATAGTAATAGATAGGAAAAGTTGATTTGGGGAAAAAACTTTTGAGGAGAAGAAACATAAACATTGGGCCCTATTATGTTATGTGCAGGTATTTTCAGTAAATAGCTCTAGACCAGCACATTTAATTAAGGTTTTGAGAGGTGAATCAGACTTACAGAAAAGGATGAGCTTAATTTTGTACACAGACATACTCATTATAGAAGAGACAAGTAGAGAAAGAAGAAAAAGAATATATTATGGTAGTAGACAGGCATAAAACGAGTCTTAGCCGGAACTGGGAATGTGAACAGAAGTAGCCTGCTTCCATATATAACTGTCCTACAAACAGTGGCGGCAATAAGAGCTCTACAGATCCCCTGGCATGGAGGGGGCTCCAGCCCCCCGGTTCCCGAGTAAAGCAGAAAATAATAATGAGTTAGAATTAGGAGAGTTAATTAAAATTTAAGTTTTGACCTGTAAAAGGCTCTTCTTGCTAAGCATTAGGTAGCATATTTGTTGTTATTGCTCATCGAGCGCCATTGGCTACCAAAAAAGCCAATTTCAGTTGTATTGTTTATGCTACATTATGAACAATGTCAGTAGACATGTCACATGAGTTAATCGAGAATACAATTAAAAATTGAATGTTTGAGCAAAGTATACGGCGTTCAGGTGAGATGGGTCACTCAGCAACCTATAATAGACAAGAAGACCCGAATGTACGTGTCTTCGGGTTAAAATGTACAAGGGCTTTTCAGAAATTTTAGAATGTTTTATAGGAAACACATTCCTATATATTCCTTGCATAGACATTTCAAGCCCATGTCAACAGGCAAATTGAAGGTTAAAAAAGGTCTACGTCATCTTTTTATAAACCAGTTGCTTCATTTTTTTAACAGAAAAAAACTTGGTGGTAGCCTGTTGTACGAGAGATGGGGGGACACTGGAGCTCACTGGAGAGTCAACCCTCTCCTGAGTCCGTGAGGCCAGCTCCTCAACCAAGCTCTGACAACACTTGCACTACAGACCAGGTCAGTCTCTAGTATTGTTGGTTTGTGATATACTTTTATAACAATGTATACCTCAGTTTTAAAAATTTTGTGAAGAAAATGAGGGTTTTAATTTTAATACAAATTAAAAAAAACCTCGATATAACAAATGTTAATAAGCTAGAATTGAGGTCCAACGCATTAACCTCCACGGTCAAAGTATAGAGTGGTCTTCATGGTCAATCTTGGTCTTCATGAGAGCCACTGGCAAAAATACAGGCTGAAGTTTTTCATGAGTTTCAAACAATCCGCCTTTTAATAGGCAATCTATAATTTCCTCTTCAGTTGAATTTTAGCTTGCTCCAAAAATGAATTGTTTCAATGCAACCAGAACATTGGCCAGTACATTTACCAAAGATCAAGATAAAAAAAATCAATATACTAATTCTTAAAATAAAATCAGTTTGTTAAATCTTGTTTAAATGGCAATAAAACTTTTGTGCAATTTCCATTTCCAAAAAATACAGCATTGTTTATATCATCAATGTAACAAAATTGCATAAACTCTTGCTATATAACTTGGACTTTCCCTCTAACATATCGAAATTGCCAATTATTGAGTACTAAAGACTATATAGTATTAGTAATGAACATCTAATGTGTTGTCAGTGTCATGTTTGTCAGCCCCCTCTTCTCCCACCCATCGTTAAACCTGTTGTATAGTACATATAGAGGTTGTGAGAACATAAAAAGGTTAGACTACGAATAGGGAGACACCCTTGCCTTTTAGACACACGTTTCTAAATTTGTATTTCAATGTGTTCCAAACACCGAACTGTGTTTGTGCTCTGTAAGAAGTATTCGATCGAGGATCATGGGGTAGGGAATGTTAATTTAGTGTGTTTACCACTAGTCACTAGTCAGCATCTCAAAATTGTGGAAAAATACAGAAAATTAAATGCAACTTTGCTACGAGTCTGTCCTCCTCCTCCAAAACGTAAGTAAGGTGCTCCATTTCAGATGGAGCACCATGAGACAACATTTGTTTGCTAAATAGCTTATCATACATGTAAATTGTATTCAATATAATGTTATGGCTTAAAAAATTGAGTTTTGTGAAAATAACTTAAACTTTCTTTTTCTATTGTCGTTTTTGCCTGGCTCCCTGGCTGTGGTTATCCTGCCTACTTATCAACCTTGGCTGTGTAATAATAATATCTTGGCTGTGTGTCTAGTAGACGTGGCATGGTAAAATTAAACATTGCACATCACACATTGCTCACATTGCAAACAATTGACTGCTGATAGATGTAATATGTAAATTACTAATATAGTTATTCCAATATAAAAATGAATTCCTCTGAACAAAATTTACCATACAGAATAATCCATACATCTTCTTTTACAGGATGTGCAACAACAAGGGGCAGCCAAGATCAACAAAGCAGGTGAAGAAGAATGTCATGGTGACAAAGAGACAAATGAAGAAAGCGACAACGAACTAGAGACTGAGGAAGAAAGACGTAGAGGCCAAGTACGTCAGGAAGAGTTGGAAAGCTTCAAAGAAGAACTGCAACGCAAGAGAGCTTTGCGACATGAGACTCTCGCAGCTCTACAGGCTGAGCTCCAAGAGTTACGTAGCCGAGCTTCTCAGTCGGACCAACTTCGGCAACTTCTGGAGGAACAACAAGAGGAAAACAAGAAACTGGTCTTCGAGAAAGAAAAGTTGATGGAACAAATGGAGCACAAGGCTGCACTCGAGAGGCAGATACAAGCGCTGAAAGATGTTTCGGAAATCGGGAAAGAAATGCTGAAAATCAGAGAACTCCAGGTGCATTAAGTAATAATAATCAAAATTAAACCAAACAAAAGTTGTATTTTGAAATTGAAAAAGTTCTTACAAATCAATTACTTTTAAATTGAAAAAAATGTCAATGATTACTCAAAAAATAGTTCTCAAAAATACAACTAAGAAGTCAAAGTCAAAGTCATCTTTATTGTCACATAACGTTTTTTTAAATGCTCTGGCACATCCAGACAAAACAGGTGGCATTGCCAATCTATACTAAAATAAACTAGCTTATTGGTAAAAATAAATACATAGTAACAAAACAAACAATTAACAATGATTTGTCTTCAAGAAACTGATCTATACCATAATAATTCTTTTCCAACAAAAATTCAACAATTTTTTCATTAAAAGATAGGCTACTAATCCTATTATTGATTTGTAGTACCCAGGCAAATTGTTAAAAAATCTTTTACCCATATAAGAAGGTGTCCTTTCCACAAGATTTAATCTGTGTATAGGATATTGAAAATCTGTATGAAACCTAGTGTTATAATTGTGCCAATTATTTTCACTGTGGAGTTTTTGAAAATTTGATTTCACATACAATAAACATTTAAGAATATACAAGTTAGGGACGGTTAAAATCTTTAATTCTTTAAAAAGTTGTTTGCAAGAATATTTAACGTGTTTAAAAGTCATAATTCTAAGTATTCTTTTTTGAAGTTTAAAAAGTTGATACAAACATTTTGAGAAACAGAATATCATCAAGTTTCACTTTGAAAATTACATTAATCTTTTACTGATGGATCTTAAATTATGCTATTGTCTAATCCAAATTAAAAATAATTTAAATTTAAATATGTTTTTCCAAGGTATTCAAAATTTGGTTAGTTATATTTTTAAAATGTGAATTCTGTTTTGTTTGTAGTAGGAGTCATTGAACTTGTCTCACTCCATTCGACAATTATTACTGGAAACACCCACAGACTAAACTAAGGCCATCTATTGTTGACTCTTGCCTCTTAAAGCATGATGGCCATTTATTTATATCTTGTCGGTTTTACTGCAAACCTTCATCCAGGCAGACAAATTACTTCCTACTTGGATGGACACCAAAAACTACCATTGTTTGGGTTAAATTTCTCAAATGTTTTCAAAACCACTTTCTGAGTAGGATGATTAATTTTTTTCATCCCCACTCATGGAGTTAAACCGAAGTCCTGTGGGGTGTTCATCACTAAATTAAATTGAAAATGTATTACACTTTGAAATACCTAAATGTACATTGATGTAAGTTGTCTTGAATGATGTAACTTAAAACAGAATTTAATAGAAATTATGGAGCTGAATTAAGGATTTAATATGCCATATTTAATTTATACAACTTAGAGTGAAATGGAATTATACCACTGTCAAATAGTAATATGTCTCAAACATAATTTTTAACCAAAGTTTGTTTTTGGGCAGACAACAAATCCACGTACTCTGTTTGATAAGCTGGAAAACTGTTAGTATTTAGAGTTGTCATTTTTATACGTTCGCCATAAAACTATTTTTTTATTTAACTCTGAGAGAAGGTTAACAATTGTAAACTTATATAAATATGTATAAAAATATAATTTACCTAGTAAATTTGCATCCGTAAAGAACTTGTGAAACGTTTACAAGTCGAAAAGTCAATTGGCAACCCTCCAGATTATTTTAATCTCGGCTCGAGACTTGCCAAAATCACTCTTTGGCAAACAATCACTCTTCTTATTCTTCAATCTACTGAGAAATAAAACATGTACTATACTTGCATTGATTTGGTATACTTGCTGTCTAAAGTGATATTTAAGAGTAATTATCTTTTCCACTGATGCAAAAAAATGATTTGAGTCATTGATGACAATTACAAATTTAAATAGGTTATTGCGTCAGTAACTGAAATCTTAGAGATTGAAGTAAAGCTGAATGTTTTAAGTGATTGACAGTAAAATTCAAAACAAAAGCAGATGTTTATCTTGATTGTCTAGTCAAATGCATTATGGTTCTACCACAGAGAGCTTATAAGTTACTATGACTTACACTCATTTATCGGTTGAGGGTAAATTTTGAATGATGAAAATATAATCTTATCTTAAAATAATTTATTGTACAACATGTATCCAAAAAACTGACTAGACCATTTGACAGTGAGACTTTTGACTGTTTCAGGTTAAAGAATTAAAGAAGAAGCTCGTAGAAATCAACATCACATCAGTGACTGCGCCTCCTGAAGACCTGCGGATAGAGTATGAAAAACAGATTGAAAATATTCGTAAACTTCGAACTCTCTACGAGGAGCGTGCGGCCGCAACATTGCTTGAACATAGGCGTCAGCTTGAGCGGGAAGAAGCAAGAATAACTGTCCTTGAAACTAAACTGTCTGAGTTACAGAAGGAAACAGAAGAGTGCAAGGATGCAAAAAAGGAATTAGAAGAGAAAATTGAAAAACTAGAAAGCACAATACAAGGTAAAGATGATGATCTAGCATCAACTAAAGACAAACTATTCTCCTGTACGATTCAAAATAAAAGTTTAAACTCACAAATTAAACTAATAAACACTCTTTTTTCACAAATGATCATAAGCCCGAATGTAGATTTGGATCGTTTGATTAGATTGCTGAAAGATAATCATGGTCTTATAACAGACTTGACTGAAACAGGAGATTCAAATGAAGTTGCAGCATTATTGGTTGATCTAGCAGGACAGGTCGAGAAGGAAAATGAAGAGAAAAACTCTGCCCCAACCCCTTCCTCGGAGGAAATAGAGGATAATGAATTACAGCCAATACACCAAACAAATGACAGTTCACAATCTGAAATAGCTTCTAATCTTTCAAAAGTCTGGAAAGTAATAATTGAGCTACTGAGTCACCATCAAAATCCAAGTCAAACTGAAATTTCAGGAGGAGCGGACAGTTGCTACAAAAGTATACAAACTCCATCAGGTCCACGGTCAGTTATAAGTGTTAGTCAAACATTTATAACTCTTAAGGACTTGATTTTAGAAAAGAATAGGCTAGTCAAAGAAGTCGGTAGATTAAAAACATTGAATAGTCACTTGGAACATCGCCTGGGTAGCCAAGAAAAGAGACTGATAGTAGTAACATCCGAGCTACGGAAAACATGGGGAGTCGTAAATAAACTTAAAGCCCAACACAAGCAACTTCACACTCATGAGAAGATTCTCCGCTATGAACTGCAGCAAAAGAGATGTATGCTAAACGAATTGAAACAGGAGCTAGTTTACTGCAAAGACAAGTGGGAGCAGGCTAGACAGAAGAATTCTCAAACAGAAGAAGACTGGAAGAAACTTAGGAAAGAATTTGCTCTAAGAAAATCAAGGAAAGAGAGCAATTCTGCTGAAAGTGGTTATGAAGAAGAGGATGTAGCTCAGTCTCCACCTTCCGAGCCAATAATGAGCAGGGAAAGCTTGTTTGTAAGACAACATGAAGGGAGTGAAACAGAGCTATCAGAAGAGGACATGGAGCATTCTGACGGTAATAGTTTTGATACTGTAATAGATTTGCTTGATATTGCTTGTATTGAGAACCCAACCAATACCAATTCCGATGTACCTTTTGCACTTTGTGAAGCACCGCCTGAGACACCAGAACTCCCTCCAAATCTTCTTCTACCACTAACAGGTAGTGAGTTTACTGAGGGCCTTGATCAAATTGAGTCTGAAGATTTAGCGGCTGTGTTAGATGTTCAGTACCAAACTCAACTTTTGGGTGCTGATTATAATCTTTCATTGCCATCATCAAGTGGCTCTTCACCTATACCAACTGAAAATGAAGAATTTGCTTTGTCAGAAATGGATGTTTCTGAAGAAGATTCATCTTCAAATGATAACCACGTTTATACAACACCTCTACCATTCACCAATCAATCTGTTTCTGAAGACAAATTGTTATTTGGCTCAAATTCATCAAAAAATATATCAAAGTTTTTGGAAGGACTTTTTACTGACCAAGAAAATAATGATGATAGCACAGTTCCACAAAATAATTTGCATCTTGATGTGCCCAGTACATCCCAGAGAGATGAGAATGATAGCACAACTCCTATTGTAAATAATATGAGCTGTTACCAATTCCCTGTTGTTGACTTCTCAGCACAATCAGCTAATGGAAGCCCCAAAGAATCAACACAAGAGGAAAATGTGAGTAATGATGAAATTAGCAAACAGACTTTCAGTACTGAGCAGGAATCAATTTTTCAACAGTTATCAACAACAGAAAATACAACAAAATCTCATCATGATGATGATAATCCTAGTAAATCCTTGTCTGAAAATAGGGCAGACTCACCTGAAGACTCTTTGAGAGCTCGAGAGGAACGTCTGAAAAAACTAGAAAAACAGTGCAGATCTCTGGTCACGAAAGTCATGTCTACATCATTTAAGAGTGAAGTACTTTCCAACAAACTTGACGAGTTGCACCAGTGTTGTGGTTCTTCAGAAGACATTCCCAAAATTAACGAGAAAACTGAGACTTGCTTAAATGATACTAAAACACAAACTGAGCACAGTGATGGCATGAAGACATTAGACAGCTCATGTTGTGAAGCTTCAATAGCAACACCTAATATGATTTTACCCAATAAACATTCTGAAATCTGCCATAAACCTTCAATGTCAGAAACTGAAAATGCACAAGCAACACCGCTGCCTCAAAAAGAGATCCGTGAAGCAGAAACATTTGAGGAAAGAACGGCAAGAGTCACAAGACTTGAAGATCAATGCAAATCATTATTTTCAAAAATGTCAGCCTCTTCTTCTCGAAGTGAACATCATTTGAAGAACTTGGATGAACATCATGGGAAACATAACTCACATCAATCCAAAGTAAGTTGTGGTTCACGAACAAAAGCACCTGCTTATAAAAGATTTGACCGTACCGAAGACAAAAAACAAAAGAAATCAAAAGAAATGCCAGATTTGGACTCAGAGTCTAAAGCAATCTTGAGGAATTGTTCTCGTGCTGATCCACCACCAGAAACAAGCACGGTGCCAAATAGTGATACTAAAAAAGATCGAACACCTGAGCAAATTTTAGAGGCTAGAGCAGAACGTTTTAAGAGGCTGGAGGAACAATGCAAATCTTTGGTATCAAGGATGACTGCTACATCGTTAAGAAGTGAAATAATATCAAACAAATTGGACGAACTTCACAGTTGTTATGGTTCTTCAGATAGCCCATCAGGCTGTGACGAACATTCCACGACATCAGAGGAAGGCAAAGTGAGATCTCCTAATTCATCTCCAAGACACAACAGAAGAATGGTCACTTTGCCGGGGAGGGAGAATTTGAAAGAAGATCAAACAGAATTAATAAGTAGTCCTATAAGGGAAGAGGAAACTAGGGAACGGGTAACATTTCCACAAAGTTCACAACAGGAGCTAGACCAGAGTATCAAATCACCTAACAGCAACATCGACAGGTCAAAGAGAACACCTGAAGAAATCCTGCAAGCCAGAGCCCAAAGACTCAGTCGTTTAGAAGAACAATGCAAATCACTATTTGGTCAAATGTCAGCTACTTCTCAAAGGAGTGATGTTATTTCAAACAAGTTAGAAGAGCTCCATGAACAGTACGGCCAGCCATCTACATCTAGGAGTGCTACACATGATAACACAATTTCAGTTACAACTGAAGGAGCTACAACTGAAAATGATTCAACTGAGGAAAATCAATCTAGCCAACAAAATACTTCAGGTACAGTTCAAGAGGAAACAAATAACCCTACAGATGCTGATTCATCCACAGATAACAATGAAGAAAGAACAGAGTCATTGAAAAAAGCATAATGAAAAACTCTACAAAGATCATAAAGATATAACTCTGTTCAGTTTTACTTTCCCTTTAGTCCAGCAACAAAAATGGGATGTTACCATGGTTGTCTTTCAGTGATTTTCCTCAAGAGCTATTTTGTATGTTTTTAATGTTGCAATGTGTTTTGTACTTCCTTTTGTAATCGTTAGTTTGGAATAATTGAATAATTATAAATGTTTGCTTTCTGAAATAAAACACTGATAGGTTTTTTTTTTTGTTACAGTTTGAATCTTAAGTCAAGTTATTGTGTAAAAGTACGACATTTGATTTCCTTTAAAATGAATAGAATTATTTATAAAATAGAATTATAGCATTTAAAAACCTTATATTTACTAGAACATACTGTATAAACACTACACAGTATTTGTAAACCAGAAGAAAATGTTGCAATTTTTATGTTTCATTCAAATGTTCAGTTAATAAAATAAAACCATATTCTATGCTTTAAAATGTGTATATTCATTACAATTATTTAAGGCTAGTTATGTTTTTTGTTTGTTTTATATAATAACGTGATTATGCGTGTAATATAATCTTCTTTTTGAAAACTCACTTTTATATTACTGTTGAAAACTACTCATTCACGTTTATCCTCAATTTAAAAGTTGTTCACACTTGTAAATTTACAAACATTGCTACACTCACTATGATTGTGACCTATTGAAATGGGTATTATGTATCTCTTCTATTAGATACATTGAAGACAAACCTCAAGGTTTAGATGTTTGATCAGATTTTAAAAATATTTCAGTCAACGACCATTGAGTTTCAGAAAGAAGATGACATCATATCAGTTATGTTGGTGAACAAAATAGATTAAGCAACAACACATTGAATAAGCTATAAATACGTAAAAACCCTGCATTGTGTAAATCTACCCTTGGCTGGTGTCAATAAATGCTTCATCTAGTACACCAACATTACACAAAAGAATTCTGCAGTATTTTTACATTTTGTGTTAAACAATTTGCTTAAGGCCTTAAAGAGTGTATTCATATTTTTTTGTCATCCCAATTTCAAGAACATGAATCATATTACTTGCCTATTTTTGTTGCCTTCGTTCTGGAGGTAAAAGTTAGTATTCACCCAGGTACATTTACCAGCTTGGTGCCAGATGGTATACAAGATGGAGAAATGTACATATAGGGCGGGTACTAACGTTTACCTCAAGAAAGAAGAGAATAAAAAACGGTAATTAATATTCATTGTTATGGACCTATGACTAGTTTACAATATTGTGTGTAATTTGAAGCCAAAGTTAGGATTTATTAAAATATTGCATTTTTAAAGGATTAAGGTATGTTAGCTAGTCTACCTAAAAAGTTAGAGTCTAGGGGTTTACTATGGACAAAAAAGTCACACAGAAAAACTCTGATATTTCGTCCCATTATTACTTCTTCAGAGAGTAGAAAGCTTGTACACAATTCTCTGAGGATGTACTATCAGGACATACCGTAATGTTACACTATGTGGCCTTTTATCCTGTGTCTATTAGCATCTGGACTCTAACCTTCATAGGCAGGGTAACTTAACTCTATTCCTTAAAAAAAAAAACTCTTGGAACATCCACTTGGCCCTCTTTTAAATTTCTATTAAATTAAAAGACCAGGAAAAGTTTATCTTTCACTATACGGAAATCAAAAGCAAATATTTGGAACCTATTGCATCATCATTGGGCAAGATAAAGTCCTATAGAGTATTAAGAGTTAAAATGCAAACAATATCTATAATTGTTCCTAACTCATCTCAAAGTGAATAGAAAAGACTTAAACTGGTGTTCTAATTTGATGGTTTGGTTAGGGCCTATTGTTTTAATTATTTATTTAGTATCTTAAACAAAATGTTCTTTGCTCAAACTCTCGTATCCAGGTACTGATCGGAGAAGACATTTGGAATCTGGTAGGTTTGTGGAGGCAGTCGTCTGTCTAATGAGTTATAAGAGAATCTTGGTCTCCGTTCCTCTAGAAAATTAAAACTTTGATTACATTCACTATACTATTACGAAACAGTGATGTTGCTAGGTGTATTTTTTTGTTTCAGCCACAGGTTTTACATTTAATACACATCCAGCTAAGGTAGCTTGAGTATTGAGTCTTCGAGTCTTGGGCTTTACTTGCCCTAAGTTGCTCAAATGAATACTGCAAAAAGCCTGTCAGGTTTGAAGTGTGTTCATCATAGGGTACAGGTTTTATGGAAGAATAAATAATAACTAATAAAAATTTATGGTGAGGAATAATTTCCTGTAACTCATTTAACTTATTGAAGTCTAGTCTTGTAACTTATGAGCTAATATAAAAGTCTTGAAGAACTGCAAGACAGCTTGACAATTACAGAGTTCTTACAGCATTTTACTCCCAACTTCAAGGAGCTCAGTTCAAAAAATTGTAGTACTTGAACTGAAGTTTGATCCCTACAACATTTTGAAGTGACCATTCTGATTTGACAGAAAAACCAGAGTATCTATAGAATAATTAATTTATAAAACTCATTTAAGTAAACTCAATCAAAACTATTTATTTACAAAAACAATAATCATGTAAACAAACTAAATGGCAGATGATTCATAACTGTATAACTCAGCTGATAACAATAATCCTACATTTCTCCCCACCCAATTTAGGCTGAGTTTCCGAAACTGTGTTCATCTTCAGGTTCCGTTTGCATTTTCCATTGAGGTGGATCAGTTGCACCTTCTCTTGCTCTCAGCTGGTCAGCGTGTTTTCTCTTTATTTCTCCCCCAACTAAAACGTTGTATGATAGCTCTCCCGTCCTTTCTTGTACAGTTCCTGGTCTCCAGCCCTTCTTCGTTTCATTTTGAACCCACACTTCTTGTTTGGCAGAAAACTCCTTTTGTTTAGATTTTAAGTCGTGGTAGTACTTCTGTCGCCACACTTGATTCTCTATTCTCTCTCTGCTATTACACCTCCACCTATCCAAAGCTGTTGGTATTCTTCTACCATAGAAAAGGACTGATGGTGGTTGGCCTGTGGTCTTTTGTGGGGTGTTTCGATAAGCAAGCAACACTTGTAAAAGTGCAAGTGATGAACTGAGACCTTCTTGTTTGCAAGCACTGTATCTACTCTTGAAGGTTCTGATAATCCTCTCTACTAAACCATTGGTTTTTGGATGATACGGTGCCGATGTGACATGACATATGTTATTGTTCTTACAAAAAGTCTTAAACTCATGGGACGTGAAGGGGGTGCCATTATCGGATACAATTTTTTTAGGAACTCCGTACCTCGAAAACCAAGTCCTTAATCTATTTACAAGAGCAGCAGTTGTCGTACGGTCCACAACTTCGATCTCAACCCATTTTGAGTAAGCATCGATTCCTACTAACCAGAATCGGTTGTCGAATGGTCCTGCGAAGTCGAGATGAATTCGCTCCCAAGGATCGCTTGGCACATTCCAAGGATATAGAGGTACTTCTGTGTCAAATGATCGGTTACTCTGGCAAGGGTGGCATCTACGGACATAAACCTCGACATCCTTATTCAGATTAGGCCACCATACATAATACCTTGATAGGGATCTCATGGCCTCTATTCCAGGATGTCCTTTGTGGAGTTCTTTTAATACATGTTCTCTCAATATCTGTGGCACCACTATTCTTCCTAATCGCATGATTATACCGTTTTCTAATGTCAGCTCTTCTCTCTTATTCCAATATGGTTTCATGGGTGGTGGTAAGTTTCCTGTATCTTTTGGCCAACCATGTTCCAGGTAGTCTATAAGTTTCTTCATATTTGGGTCTTTCTTATACTCCAGTACAAGTTCATGATTTGGATAAACGACGTCGATTTTCTCCTGAACCAATGCTCGAATCTCTCTCTCATCTGGATCCAATACTTCTTGTGTCTTGAGTGAAAATCTAGACAAAAAATCAGCCAAACAATTATCCTGTCCTTTGATGTACTGGATCTCAAAATCATACTCCATTAAATACAAAGCCCAACGAACCAAACGGTTGTTTACTACTTTGGTAAGATCCCGATGCATTCCGAATATTCTTTCAAGTGGCTTGTGGTCCGTCCTCACCTTGAAATGTCTCCCACTGAGGTATTGTCTAAACTTCTTCACTGCAAAAACTAACGCCATCGCTTCCTTGTCAACTGTAGCATACCTTTTTTCGGCTTCCGTTAGTGTCCTCGAGGCGTACATGACTGGCCTTTCCGTTCCATCCGGCATCAAATGTAACAGCACTGCACCAACCCCTTGCTCACAAGCATCACATTCAATAATGATCGGCTTTGATATGTCGTATGGAACTAATGTCTTCTCTAATGACAGGATATTCTTCAACTTGTCGAACGTCGTCTGTTCGGTGTCAGTCCATTTCCACTTAGTCTTCGTACCAGTCAGCTTATGCAAGTTCGAAGCGATCGCATGAAGATTAGGTATGTACCTTTCGTAAAAATTTAGTGCTCCTAGAAAAGCTCGTAATTCTTTCACGTTTCTTGGCCTTGGTGCGTGTCTTATGGTTTCAACTTTGTCTTCGGAGGGATGAATACCATTCCCATCAATTGTATGACCTAAATACTTTACAGATTTCTGAAAGAACTTACATTTTGATAGTTTTGCTCTTATTCCACTTGATTCTAGCCGCCTCAAAACTTCTCTAAGAGTGGTTATATGGGTAGTCTTATCCTTACTAGAAATGATTATGTCATCAAGTAGAACTCCGACATTAAGTCCTTTTAGTAAACTTTCCATATACCTTTGAAATTTTGCCGGACTCGAGGAAAGTCCAAAGGGCAACCTTTTGTAGCGAAAGTAACCTACATGAGTTGCTATTGTCAGATACTTTTGTGACTCGGGGTGTACTTTCATTTGCAAGTACGCGTCTCGAAGATCTATGACTGAAAATATCTTTCCATCAGTTAATTTGGAAGTCAAGTCATCAAAGGTTGGCAAGAGGTGTCTTTCCGGCACGATGTTTGGATTCAAGGTTGTACGAAAATCGCCACAGATTCTTACTCTACCTCCACCCTTGTCTACGTTGACAGTTGGGGTACTCCATTCTATCGGTGTTTCGGAAGGGTCCACTGGTTCCAAAACTCCTTCCTGTACTAATCTCTGTAATTCTCGCTCCACTGCCTCCCTTAAGGGGAATGGAACTCGTCGTGCCCCGTAAGATACAGGTTTTGTTCCACTTTTTAGATGGATGACTTCATTAGAGTCAGATATCGTTCCTAGCTCATCACGAAAGAGTTCGGAAAACTCCTGAGTTAATGCCTCTACTTCTTTTTGTAATTCTTTTCTATAACTTTCTTCGTTCTTACCTGCCTCTTTACTACTTGTCTTTCCATTGTCAATACGTCTAACCATTACTTCTCTAGGTAAATTAAGATTGAAAGCTACACTCCACGGCAACCCAAATAATGGAACATCATCTTCTAGTAATACAATGACCGGCAATCGCTTAGTACGATTACGTAAAGTAACGTCCACAAAAGCCTTACCCATGACTTCTAGCTTATTTTTCCCATAGCCAGTGATGACATCAGACGTCTTTTTGAGAGATTCGCCACTTGAATTTATCCTATCCCAAAGAGACAAACTTATAGCACTCACCCGAGCCCCGGAATCAAACTCCATTCTAACATTATACCCGTTCAATTCTACATCTATTGTAGCTCTGGGAACCTTACTCTTGACTGACCTAATTTGTGTACCACTAACATCAATATCAGAACTACACTCATCATCATAAGTTTGATTACAAGAATCATCTACTTTTCTCAAATTACCATCTGTTCTCTTGACAAAATGATTTTTACTTTTGCACATTCTTGCGAAGTGGCCTCTCTTTGAACATTTCTTGCACACAGCAGAAATAGCAGGACATCTATCTTCACTAGGGTCATGTGTAAACCCACATCTATAACACCTATTGAAACCATTAGATTTCTGTACCTCTGGTTTCCTCTTTTCCTTACTGTCACTTACTTTGAAAATCTCATTTTTACACGCATGTTTGGAAACTTCTTCTCTCGCACGTTCCATGGATTGAGCTAACTCTAGTACTACTGTTGACTTAACAAGCTCACCTCGGTTATCAACTCCCTCGGGCCATCTTTGTCTGACTTCAACTTCAAATTCTGGACAGTTGCTTCCTACTGCAAACCTATCTCGTACTCGTTCATCTAAGCTATCTCCATATTTACAACTTCTAGCTAAAGACTTCAATCTGTTATAAAACAAAATAAATGTCTCACCATCTTTTCTTATAGCTCTTTCAAACTCAAACCTTGTTGCAAAAAGGGTCCTTGTAGGCTTGAACAACCGGTTGGCTTCCTCTTTGACTTCGTCGTAGGTGCACTCCTCCCAGGCCCTTGGATACATCTGGTCCGACAGTGCCCTGAGGTGCTCCTCTCCGATATTTGCCAATAGAAGATCTCGCCGAGCCGCTTGTTCTTCTGAGTCAGCACCACCCAGTCCCTTAACTCTGCAGGTCAACTCAAAACGAGCTATGTAGTCTTCCCACAATTGTTCACTATTATACTCTTTAAATGAAAATCTGCTCATTCTATCTTGTATGCAAGACATGTTACTACAGTCAATTACACTCTTATACTGAGACTGGTCTGTTTTCCTCGGCATTTTCTCGTCGCCAATATAGAATAATTAATTTATAAAACTCATTTAAGTAAACTCAATCAAAACTATTTATTTACAAAAACAATAATCATGTAAACAAACTAAATGGCAGATGATTCATAACTGTATAACTCAGCTGATAACAATAATCCTACAGTATCGTATTAAGAAAAGTGGCATAGTAGGCGGTCAATGCATATAGAAATGCCGTAGAAAAGTAGCACAAGTGTCTAGTTTGAACTCTGAAAAATATGATTGGTTTTTAATAACTAAGATTTAAATACTTTATTTACCTTCTAGACTTGTGGAGAGTTTACTTTTTATTGCACCTTCTTTCCTGTTTATCGTTAAACTTCTTTTTCTCCTTGTTTTCCAGATTAGTGTTGGAGAAATTACTAAGAGAAACATGAATGTTCCTAGCAATGCATAAGCCAGTAGTAGATCGTCAGACCCTATATTTAAATAAGAGGATTTAATAGAAGTTCCAAAAGTAACTCTTTAAACCTTAGATATTAATCATTAGTTCGTGGAGACGAAGGGGTTGCCAATACACAGATATCTTCCTTCTTCTCAGGGGAATATTTGTTATTTTAATGGATTGACGTACAGCTTAAATAAACCTTACTAGCAATCTAACAAATACTTTCTCCCATCATCTTGTCAACAACCCTTATCAAGCGGTGTGAGTAGCCACGATATTTTACAGGGAAAATCACAAAAGTTGCAATAACTTTTGAACAATTTTTATGACATATCCTCCTTGCAGTCGATCTAACAAATCTTAGTCTGGTCCAAACATTTGATATCAAAGTATCGCAATTGAACACATTGTACTCAATTGCATGGATGCATTATGCATCGATCTCATATCATAACACATTTTTAACGACTAACTCGTCTAGGCCTAACCAGCAATAAAATAGGTGTATAGACAACGGTACAAATTTTCTAAAGAAAGTCTGGCTGAAAAGGGATGGCATTTTCTGGACATGGCTATGCATATTATGTGTGGAAATTACAGCAAATGTAGGTAGAAAAAAAGTATATCAAGCTTTTATCTTACCTGGAATGAAGTAAATTAAATCTTGATTGCAGGGACAAAGATGAAATTCTATTTCGTCATTCACTTGCAATGTCCTAGAAGAACTCAAAAGTCAACAGCTTAGTAAAATAGCCTGCAAAACTGCAAGCTAAGCAAATTTCCATTTGCCTGATTCAATTTTCTCAAAAATATTAAATTCTTATAATTATTAACAGTTTAATAATGATGTAGGCCTACATGTTCATATTTTTACATGTTTTACCAAATTGCATCAATATCTGATCATTTTTATCAAGTTGTCGTCATAACGGACAAAATCAAGAATAAATATGAATAATTTGAACGGATATTGTTCATGACTTCTGGGGGCTACAATATGGAAAAGCAAATTGGTCCTGGGTCTACTTACCATGATACCTACTAATTTATGGGAAATTCGCTGTAAAGAAAAAGTCTTTGATCTAAATAAGTCATAAATGTTTACATGGCGTATGTATATAAATGCATGTTTGTATGTTCTTTTGCACCAAAATTAGGTTTACACTAATATAAAAAATAGAAAAAAATGACTTACCAAATTCTTTTGTCAAAACAGGCGCACCAATTCATAAGTGAGTCACTTTCATAACTGGTACCATTTAAATAATTAACAGTAATTTTCTCATTTTTTATAAACAATGTAAAGTTAATAAAAAATGTAAAATGAATTTCACCCGTGATGTTTGAGATTACTTTTGTGTTTTCCCTTCTTCCAGTGATATTTTTATTCCGTTTTTCCATCTCACATAGAAAATTATTTTTATCTTCATCCAAAAGTGTTGAACTTGCTTCAAAAGTACACACTATAACAAGAAGATAATTTGAGTTTAGCTTCTTCAAGATTCTTTGTAGAAAATACGATCTATTTATACCTATGTCAATCTGGTAGGAATATAAAAATCTTTTTGAGGTAAATTCAAAAGAAAAGTCCAAGTCTTCTGTAGTATTGCTAGCATACACGCATTGGGAAGAAATGTTCTCATAAGTGAATCCCCAGAAGCACTCACAAATATCAGGCTGTACACATATACCATTGTTACAATCGACCGAGCAAAAGGGGTCACAAACATTCTGAAGTTCTTCATTAGGTTCGTATCCAAGAAAGCACAAGCACTGCTCCGGCATCAAACAGTATCCATTTACACACTTGGAACATTTAGGGCTACAAATATTATTGTTATGCACATCTTTCACATAGCCGCTTGAACAAGAGCACTCGTTAGGTCCGATGCATTCTGCATTCACGCAAGGCTCTTCACAGCGAGGAACGCATGTTGAGTAATTCCCTGATGGGTTTGTGTATCCTCTGAAGCAAATACAAGTGTCAGGTGCTACACAAGCTCCGTACTCACAATCTGAACATACAGGAACACAAATGTGACTTACTGGACCTAACTGATAGCCTTCTAAACATTCACATGTTTCAGAAGCTATACATTTTCCGTTGACACACTCTTTTGAACAGACAGGACTATTACTGTCGCCACAATCTTTACTGATACATGGAGTGCATTTGTTTAGCATGAAAGGGTCTTTTCGGAACCCCCAATAACATTCACAGTATTCTGGCCTGTCGCAATAGCCGTTAACACACTTTTTAGAACAAATGGGTTCACATATGCCAGGGTAATCTGTGCTTTTGTAACCTGGTTTACATGTACACTTTCCAGGCGAGGAGCAATATCCATTGATACATTCATGAGAACAGAAAGGCCCACAAATGTGTGGAACTACTTTATTTTTGTAGTAGCCTTCTTCACACTCACAGAACTGTGGCATAGAACAGATCCCATTGACACATGGTGGGCTACAAACAGGGCTGCACTTGTAGGAATCCCAAAAACTCTTGGTGTATCTGCAAAACAATAGTTATCAGAACATTTGTATTAATTTTCAAAATATTATTTATTATTATAAATCACAATTTAATTCATAAAATAATACTTTAATAAACAAGTGTCCACAAATATGTCTACCAGTTTGTCACACTTCTGTGTGAAAGGTCTTTTGTGGCACACTGTTTACTAAGCTTATGGTACCACTTACCAACCATTGCAAATCTAAAATATCAGTTGCCAAGTGGCCTGTGCCAATTAGTTAAAAACAAAAAATGCTAAACAGATTTTCAGAAACATCGGTCCTATTGTTACAAGACTAGAACTCCGTCATTTAGGTAGGTTGTATCTAAGTTTTGGAGTCATGCTATGCCCCCTGATAATGATAGTAAATGGCAATTATTTAAAACAAGATTGACTTTCTAAGTTTCCTCTCCACATATGACTGAAATGAGAACTGCTCCTTGAATTCTAGGCGTTGTCGACAAACCCACTCTTTAAGAGAGAGCTGGATGCCAACTACTGCTTTTGATGGATCTGGAGTTGTTTCGGTTTCTGGCAGTGAAAACATTGTGAAAACATGAAACTTTCTGCTGATTGATAATGTAACCCAACACTTTGCCTATGTCGGTTCTCGGCAGGTAGTTTGCAACAGCAGAAGCCTGGATTTAATGGAAGGTCATACAAGCCTCCTGCCTGCAGCTGGAGGTAGTGCGGGGCCCAGTGCAAATGTTCATAGTCCTTACTACCAAAAAGTATTATCCGAACAAAAATAATGAACAACATCTCAATTTATAATATTAATATACATAATCCGTCCCTTTTTATACAGGGTTGATAAAAAGTCTGGAGACCCCCTGTCAATTTTTTAACGGCCCATACTAGAAAAACTAAACTCTGCACACCTTTATAGCATGTTATGAGGTATCTTTTTGGGCATAACCGCCACTTCATGAACATCCCCAAAATGGGGGATTTCGGGGGAATCTAAAAGATTTCAAATTGTAAGACCCATCGAGTGACCCCCTCATTTTGATTGAAGGTCCTGATAAAAGAAACCCAACAAGCAAACTAGGGGTCTCTATCTCAACCCAGTAAAAAATGGCAGTCAATTGAAATTCTCAGAAGTGAAATTTAACTTTACAGCTTTCCAAGACTGGAGATCCCTGTAAATTTTGTAACGGCTCACACTAGAAAAACTAAACTCTGCACACCTTTATAGCATGTTATGAAGTACTTTTTGAGCCTAATTGGTACTTGGCTCGCAAACCCAAAATGGGAAATTTTGGGGAAAACTAAAAAATTTGAAATGTCCCCATCGAGCGACGGCTCATTTTGAAAGTAGTGATCAAAGAAAACTAACAATGCAAACTAGAGGTCTCTATATATATAGAGGACGCAGTAAAATATGGCAGTAAATTGAAATCCTTAGAAGTCTAAATTCTAATTTCTAAAGATTTCAACTGACTGCCTTATTTTACTGGATTAAGATAGAGACCTCTAGTTTGAGTTGTTAGTTTTCTTTTATCTAATCAGGACCTTCAAAATGAGGGGTCACTCCATGGGTCTTACCATTTGAAATTTTTTAGTTTCCCCCGAAATCGCCCATTTTGGGGATGTACCCAAAGTGGCGGTTATGTCCAAAAAGTACTTCATAACATGCCATAAAGGTGTGCAGTTTATTTTTTCTTGTATGGGCCGTTAAAAATTGACAGGGGGTTTTCAGACTTTTTATTAACCCTGTATTTTCATAATTGATGGAAAATTATTGGACCTTTTACAATTTTTTATATTCCATACCAAGTGTGGGGCCCTATGAGGCCGCATCTTTCGCATGTGCCTAAGGCCGGCTCTACGCAGGTAAGCTTGCTATCCTCTCTAAAAAAAAAAACAATACAAACTCCAAAGACATACCCTTCGTAACAAGTGCAGTTGTTGGGGGTAGAGCAGTAGCCATTTTTGCAAGGTCTAGAACAAATTGGTTCACAAGCACCGTTGTTTATATGGAATCCTTCGTCGCATGTTTGAGGAAGGTTGGGTTTTGGTTCACTTATGCTTGTGGTTTGGTTGCTCATCAAAGTGTAGTTGCTATGAGCCACACATTTTCCCGACTCACAAACAGGAGTACATCCGGAGAGATGTTCCATGTAGCCTTCGCAGCAGTACAGCTCAGTCTACAAAATAGTCAATCTGCAAATCACAAGTTTCAAGTATTGGACCTAAACAAATCACGAGTTTCAACTATTGGACCTAAACCAGCCGCGGCAAAATTGTATAAGGAAAAGGTCGGAAAATAAAACCATTGTAAAATGTTAAAAACTATATTCAAACATTGAAAACGTTAAAAATAAAAGTTTATATATTACATTATAAGGTTGTAAAACGCTAAAGCCATCATAAATTAAACAGTAAACAACAAAAATTTAAACTCTACTATTGAAACCGTAAAATATGAGATAATGATAAACACAGATATACAGATTTCCGGCTCTCTATTTGCAGCTAAGACATGAGGTAACAGTGAGGTTTGCATGGATGAGGAGTTGACAGATCAATATGACAATACCGGGTGTTTATAAATGAATATCGGGGTTTTAACGCTTTATAACTTTTATACTACTAAACTTACTGCTGTAAATAAGACATAATGAAAAAGCAACTCAAAGAGTTCATGCCTTACAAAGACAAATTATTTAACAAAATCAATTAATTGTACAAAGTTAAAAAGAAATCTCCAACTTTTTTTACCACTATAAATTGGGAGGTTGCTTAACATTTTTGCAAATAACTTTCAAATGGTGAGGATGTCGACCAAAGTGGAAAGTAATATTATGAAAGAGAATAAAATTTCCTATAATTTACTATTATGCATTTCTTGAAAATACTTAATAAATCCAGCCAAAAATTGCCTCAAAATACAAAGAATTTGAAAATTCCCATTTTCAATTTTGTTTATTTTGAGGCAATTCTTTACTGGCTTTGCTTCTTTTCTTTGCGGCTCTTTAAGTTGCTTTTTCATTTGATGTATTATTTATAGTGGTAAGTTTAAAAGTATAAAAGTTATAAAGCATTAAACTCCTGATACCGTAAAACGGGGTAACTTGAGACAGTGTGGTAACTTGAGACAATTTGCAGATGTTTTTTTTTAATTTTTTTTGTTGGCATACCTGATGAGTTATTGGGAGTTTTCTTAGTGTGAACATGTCATGGAAGTTGATCCCTTAACTACTGCATATTACGACATATTGTTATATTCAAGGTAAGATGCTTTATTTATTAATTTATTTTGAGTTACAGATGTTCAAAAATTATAGGCTGTATAACTTACCTTGTAGCGTCAAGTATATTATTAGGAATTCAATGATTGTTATTACTTACCTAACCTCAAAAGCTGAGTTGTCAATAATAATCTTCTCACTAAGCTATTGCCAACCTAAAATTTATAAAAAAATAAAATACCCTGTTCTGTCCTTGGTGGGGTAACTTGAGACAACTGTCTCAAGTTACCCCACTTTTGAATGTCATACTATAAAAAGTGTATATTACAATATAATAGCATAGTTTGATTATTTTCAGGTCAAGTTATGGTGCGTAACCAGAAGAGGGCTGTAGGCTCACGCAAATATAAAGATTTTACACCAGATCAACTTGAGAAGGCTATGAAGGATGTAAAAGGAGGCCTATCTTTGCGAAAAGCTGAAGAAAAGTATGGCGTACCACGATGCTCTATTAATAGGGCCATAAGAGGTAAAAACTCAAGTAAAGTTGGCAGACCGTTTGTACTGAATGAAAACGATCAAGCCACTGTAGTTGAATGCTTAAGTAAAGCAGGTGATTGGGGCTTTCCACTCACATTGTATGATGTCAGGCTGATTGTGAAATCTTTCCTTGATCGTTCTGGAAAAAGGGAAGTCCGTTTCAAAGACAACCTGCCGGGCCGTGAATTTGCCATTTCGTTTTTGAAGAGGCATCGTGACAAATTGAGCCAAAAAATGTGCCAAAACATAAAAAGGACACGAGCCAAAGTTGATCACGATATCATTAATGACTATTTTGATGAACTAAACCAGTCAATGGAGGATGTAACTCCCGAATTAGTCATAAATTATGATGAAACAAATATGACTGATGATCCTGGCCTGAAAAAGGTGGTTGTTAGAAGAGGATGTCGTCACCCTGAACGCATCATTGACTCAACAAAATCAAGCACGTCCGTCATGTTTGCTGCGACTGGAGATGGCAAACTTTTACCTCCGTATATAAGGCGGAAAATCTGTACAACACCTGGACAGAGCATGGCCCAAAAGGGGCTATATACAATAGAAGTAAGAGTGGATGGTTTACATCTGAAATTTTTGAAGACTGGTTTGCCAGAGTTGCTCTACCTTACTTTTTAAGTTTGACAAAAACAAACCAAAACTCATGATTGGAGATAATCTCTCTAGCCATATTTCTCCATAAATTGTAAAATCATGCAATGATCATAACATAAGATTTGTTCTTCTTCCTCCGAACAGTACTGGCATAACTCAGCCATTAGATGTTGCCTTCTTCCGCCCATTGAAAATAAGGTGGCGTCAAACTTTGGAAGACTGGAAAACAAAACATCGAGGAGTTGTACCCAAAGACACATTTCCTAGATTATTAAACAAATGTCTCGTTGAAATGGGTGACGACAAAATTTCTAAAAACGTCACTAGTGGTTTTAAAGGATCTGGCTTGATTCCTTTAGATCGAGAAAAAGTCCTAAAGAGACTTCCACAAAGGACTCCAGTCTCTGAAAGCCAAGCCGCCAACCAAGACAATTCCATGATTTGGGTTGCTTCATTTCAAGAATATTTAGAAGGAAGCAGAAAACAAGAAACTGCTGGCCTAAGGAAAGCAAAGAAGAAACTGATTGTTCCAGCTGGTAAAGGAATCTGTGAAGAAGATGTCCCTGAATTTACAGATACTGGTGCCATCTCAAAACAGAAGGGAAAGAAGAGGAAACTGAATGAAAATCCTTCTGAAGCTGTAAATAGACCTTCTACTTCAAAGAGGAAGCAACATAGAAATGTTGTTAGTGAAGAGAGTGAAGAAGAAATTTGGAGTGATGCAGATTTATGTGAGAACAGTTCAAATGATGACTTCGATGACTTTAGAAGAAAAATTCTCAACGCCAGCTGTTCTGATGTCGAGGAAGAAGAAAATAATATAAAGAAGAAAGAAGAGATAAACATTGAAACACTTCAGCCCAAACTTCAGGAAATAAACAAGCAAGTTGGGTCTTTTATAATTATAAGCTACGAAGGCAAGTTTTTACCCTGGGGTGATTGAACGATTTGACGAAGAAGGTGCTACAGTCAGTGCTATGAAGCGGACTCTCAAGGATAACTGGAAATGGCCGGAAAAAAAGGATGAACTTAACTATCGTTGGGAAGATATTGTTGGTGGTATTAACCTTCCTAAAATGCTCAATAAGAGGGGGTTTTTTTCTGTACCAGAATTGAACGAAATTTACTAAGTTATGTCTGACATTGTGAAAAAAATTGTTTCCTCTTTTTTAAATAATTTTTTTTTAAGTTTGTAAGTCCATATGTGTATTCCTTTGTTTTCCTAGATATTTTATTATGTCTCAAGTTACCATTGCATTATCTAATTTGAGACAACTGTTGTTTTAACATCTGTGTCTCAAGTTACCCCATTTATATGGGTAACTTGAGACACTAATAAAAATAAATAAATAAATAAAATTTCTATATTTACACCAATTATTAAATGTAGAAACCATAGTAACCAGGGTAACTAATGTTTTATTCTAGTTTTTGCAGATTTCCCTATAAAATTATTTGGTAGGGGTTTCTTTTAAGTTGAAAAATGTCTCAAGTTACCCCGTTTTACTCGGTATTCATTTTATAAACACCCAATACAATAGACTTGAATCATGATAGACACACATTAAGATATGTAATGGATTACCACAAACTGCAATCAATTTAATTTTTCAAGCCAATTTATTTATTTATTTTTGCTTGAAGTAATCTGGATAATTTGCAATCAACATGATTGGAGCTCTACTATAGTATATTTGTTGTTATTGCTCGTTGACAAATGGACGTTAACAGTGTAGTTGTAGATTTTTCAGAGTAGAAACGATCCTCGTTGTCGCAGAAAACACAGGTCGCTTACCATAATATTATGTACGTATAGGTTAGGTTCTTTGGAAAAAGCAGAGTGGACGTTACTGACTACCAAAGTCATGTCAATATCAGTTGTGTTGTCATAGATTGTTAAATACAATGTTCACAGCAATTTTATACTCAATCTATGAATGTTTAACGTAAATAAAATTAAAAACTAACGAGTAAGCCAATTGTTCAGTGCCCAGATAAACGTCACTCAGCTTGGCCAAGAGGAGATCAGATACATAGGGCCAGAGATTGTTCTGGGGGTCCTGAGTAGTTAATCACCACTGTTGTTACTTTAAGACGACTAATTATGATTACTCTTCAAAAATATATTTGTGTTTTCAGTTGGTTCTCAGTGACACAACTGTTAATGTGTGGATAAGGTAAATGGGGGAGTGAGGTGGTCTCATGATAGAGCACAGGACTTCAGTCCCCAAAGCCCTGGATTTTAAACCTGCCAATCACCAGTGGATTTGAAAAACGTGATCATGACCCTCTAGGTCTATCTTACAGTAATGTATAAACAGCTCTGGGCTAGAGCCTATAGCGTCCTAGGATGTGAAGGAGGGATAAAAAAAGAATGTGTATATAAATATCGAAAGGTGATTTATTTTGATTGTAGTGTGTTAAATAAAAAAAGAATTCTGTTGTCCAAATTTTACAAGTTAAAATTGATACGATGATAGGGAGCTGCTAAATGATATGAGGGTTTTTTTGCCGCCCTGTCGAGCGAGCGAGTGGCGGAGGGTAGTAGTAATAGGGGTGTTCCAAAGCCAATGTGTGGACATTTTTAGTAGCCATGGAGCTGTGGACAGCTGAGCACCATGTATTTGTAGTGGAAGTGTTTTTAAAAGTGGCAATTCCTCGGCAGGACGGCAATGAAAACCGTCAGATCATTTTGCCGCTCCCTGTACTATAGTAATACTACGTTGTAATTATTTTATTGTCTAGTATAAAAACGTAGTGTCCTTATAAACCTAACATTATACTTGTGATTACCTCATTTGTATACTTGTCTTCTTCCTGATTAACAGTAATAATACTGAAACAAATGCCGAAATTTAAGGAAAGGTTTACAAGGTGCATACACATATCAAATCAAATATATCAAATTAGATACTACTTTTACCAATATTTTTCTTTTAAGTACAGTGCATAAGATTTTTGGAGTAATTCCAGTTTAAATAAAAATTAGTAATTCCAGTTTAAATAAAAATTAATAATGTAAGTTTATCTTGTGGTTGCCAGGTTCTTGAAGTTTTTGATTATGAAGCTCGATGTACGTTTCACCACTTGTATGGCATTATCAGAAGCACAGCATATATTTACATTGTTGTTCACACTCAACTACCTATACTATTTACTATGTACACTGTACACCTTTTGTTGGCCGAATGTAAATAGTAAATAAAGTAGTTTAGTGTGAACAACAATGTAAATATATGAACTGATGATGCCACACATAGTGGTGAAATGTACATCGATCTTCATAATCACAAACTTCAAAAATTTGACAACCGCAAGATAAGCTTAAAGTAGGTATACATCCATCCGTAATTTTTGTTTGTTTGAGAAAATCCAAAATAATATTTAAACCCCAAAAATTTTTAGGATTTTCATATTTTATTTAAAAATCTAAAACATTGAATGAGTGATATTATCTCAAATTAACTTTGAAAGAAAATTTCTATGATTAAAATGCCACCAGTATGGCCGAAACAACCAAACGGCATAACATTAAAGGCTTCTTACTTGATTGCAAACTTACTTACTTCTTACTGTCTCTTCTGCAAACACCTTCGCCTTCCAAGACAACAATTTGAGAAGTTTGTACGAAAAAATATAGGATTGAAACATATAAAAGGTAGTTCATCATCTTGGGTTCTGTCTGGAACAAAATATCATAGAACTATCAGCTCTTACACTGTGTGTGTGTTTTTTTTTTTTATATAACTGACCCAGATTCATTTCCTTCACCCCCTCCCTCCACAGTATTAGGTGTGAGAGGCGTACTTTGGTCTTCACTTGAAAAGTTGTTCAAACAAAAATGTAAATTACAATAATATGTATGCAGTAATTCCTAAAATGACAAAATATAATTAGAATTGTGTAGTACTTGATATTAAAAGACATTAGTCAATGTTTTGAGGATGATCTAAATCTATTGGACTTAGGTAAGTCAATTGCTCAGTCGGTAGTGCCACGGATTTTGGGTCCAAGGCAGCGATGTTGTAGGTTCGGATCCTGGTATCTGCCACTACTTATAGGATTTGTTTGAAGGTTTCTGGAAGAAAAGTTGGCTATCATATTCAAAATGTGAATACAAACAAAAACTAAAAGAGAGGTGAAAATCTAATTAGATTGTCCTATTATTTGATATCTATCTGTTAGCCGCTGGACTCTAATTTTCACAGGTAAGCTAGCTGAGCTTTATTCCTTTTCTAAACATTCCTTTCTAGTCAATTGGCTTTCCTTTAAAATGTAACATTAAATGTTTTAGTGTAGGTAAACTAAAAAATAAGGAGGTAGTGACAAAAAATTAGGTTTTTACTTACCTTCTTACATGAACCTTTTTTTGCGACAATATAAAGAAAAGAAAAACATTCCTTACGTTTTAATGTTTTGTGAAAAGTAACCAGTTAAAAATGTTTCTACCAGCATAGTTTATCATAACATCTTACAATCAAATGCACTTTTTATTGGTATTACACAATATTCTGAAATAAACATAAATTTACTACAAAAGGAAAACCAGCATTGTTATTTGCTGTTTTGAATAAACAATCAAACTAAAATGTTTACATGACTGGATGATTCCTACATAGTGAAAGGAAATGCCAGATAAAAGATGATAACACTAAGTGATAGCGAATCATTTCCAACTGGTAATCAGAAATTGAACTGGAAAAGGACTCATTACAGACTCAATGTTTTAATAATCTTTTAAGATAAGTTTGATTTGAATATTGGACTTTCATCTGATTGGATAGTCTTTAGTCGTAGATTTAAAAAGTAAAATCATTAGATGGTTGTTGCAGACATCCATATTTTGATTTAGAATATACAGATTTAAGTAGACATCACAAATATACATTATTGCGTTAAATTCTGCAACAAAAGCCACTAATTAGTTTGTAGACAATTTGAAAACAAACGGTATCAAGTATCAGCAAATTGACACATTCTTTATCCAATCAGCTTGTAAAAACCCCTTATTATGGGTAAGCAGTGGGAGTCGAGTCGGTATGATATTTTATGAGTAATATCACAAAAACTTTAATTTTTTTATAGGTGTGTGCGATGCAGCATTTGTTTTTCGATTCAATGCATCGATGCGATTCAAAGAATTTTGATTTGAATAGATGCGATTTGATTCAATACAGCACGTCATGATTTTCCTTTAAAATTTTTTACAGCTTGCATTTCTGTAATGGACCATTTACCTTTAAGGAACATTTAAAAAAGGTTAAAGTAAAAAAATGTACTGAATAAAATGTTTTATGAACAAAAGGATAGTTGCTGACCTAACTCCTGCTGATTGACACTGCTAATTTTATGGCTGGCCTAAGAAAATCAAGACTTCGCTAACAATTAGAATAAACCTATACCAAAGCAATTGTTATTATTATTGGCCTGTAAATAAAAAAAAATAGTTTATTTCACATATGATGTGATGTAACTTTATTTCCACTTTTATATACTTGGCTTTCAATACTTTGGTTAATTCTTAGGATCAGAAAAAAAAAATTGATGATCAGTGTTTATTGTCTATTTGATACATTATTACACATTTAATAAATAGATGTGAAATAAGAAATTAAAATTAATAACGGTTTGTGTTAAACTTAAAAACTCAAAGAGATCAGTGAGTAGGCCTACCAAAAAGATAATATTTATTAATTAGAAGTAGAACTTAAAAATGAACTCTTTGTAATAAATCATTACTAGATAAATTAATTGTGAAATAAATAAATTTGTCAAATCATAATAATTAGTTTATATATGCACCTGGACAGAATCGATGCATGAAGACAAATTTGATGCATCAGTATTTCGATGCATGCTGAAATGAATAGAAATTTCAATGCATTCTCGATGCATCACCACTAATTTTTCATTATAATCTTTGCAGCATTGAGGTTGGACCATTTGGTTCAGAGTTAAAAGGCCGATAACATACTAAATTTTGATCAAAATCGTTCGAGCTGTTTTGATAAAAAAAATTGTTTAATGCACGTCTTTATAGAAAAATTACCATAAAAATCCAAATTTTCAAAAACTTTTTAGCTTGTACACATCCACACACACTCACATGGGTACAGGTACACAAATACCACTTCGAAACCCACAGTTTCAAAACTACTAGTTGTTCCAAATAGTTTTTCAAACTATCCAAGGAGTTGAGAGAAGCAGTATCCTATGCTTTATAATCTTAGGTCCCACGGATTCATTGATTTGACAGTCTTTAATTGAATGTGCAGATTTTGGTTTTTGTTAATATATATCATATAATAAAAGCTTCCTTGGTGAGGATTTTTACTTTTTAGAGGACTTAAAAACAAAATACAGGTATAAGAAATTGCATAACATAAATATGTTTTTATTTTTGACAATCCTTTTACTGGATGAAAACTGACAAATTATTTCACATAATCCCAAATGAGTACATTTTCAATTTATCATAGGTACTTGGATGACAATGGTAAAAACTATTAGCTTAAAAATGAATCTAAAAAATATTTTAAAATATTTTGTTAAAAACATATAGAGAATACTGTACTCTTTTAAAATAAATTATAAAAATAGCATGTTGTAAATAAAACAGAGACATTTTTCTGGTAAAAACTATTTTGTTAAAAACTTATAGAGAATACTCTTTTAAAAATAAATTATAAAAATAGCATGTTGTAAATAAAACAGAGACATTTTTTTGTATAAAATCAACCAACCATGCAAACAGTTATATTAAATAGAGGAATAGCCTTAAACCTCAGTCCATTATGTAGCTTTTGGGTGTGAGACAAACAAAAGTGCGTCTTAGAGTACAATAAAAAAAATTACAAAACCACTAAAGTAAAATCTTTGGAAAAAATAGCAACAATAACTGGGGAAAAAATGTAATAGAAATAAATAGTACAGTATACCTGATACTTAAACATAAAATTTCTAAATCAATAGAAATAACGGTTTTATATTGGCGTAGCACAACTACCTACTTATATGATTTTAGATCTATTCAGATATTCACAGTAAATAAGTATAGGAATATGCACAAGTGGCCTGAAGTATTGTTGTAACTTGAAACAGCTGTAGTCATTACTAAGGTTCATTCTACACAAACGTGAATCCCACTGCGGGGCATGTGACATGACCATGCCAACATTGTGTTGAAGCTACGGAATCCCTGTAACGTGGAGTCAGCGTGAAACCCGTCGGGCCATTCTACAAGAGGCGGTTCAGACGCGGGAAGGACACAGAGGAACTCGGTTGGACAACAACAGCTATATAAACTGATAAGAAAGAAACATAAGAAGAGACAATTGTGGACACATCCAACGTTGACGTTATCAAACTGGTTGATCAGAGGGACATTCCATATCATGTTTAAGACCATCAGATGTACCCAGGTATTCAGAAAAGCTTTTTCCAGTTTTGTTATACTTTCCACAGTTCCATCCAGTTTTTTTGTAATACTTCTCAACACCGCACCATGTTAAATCGTTGAACCTAACACAACAGATGTGAAGTGAGGTGCCACGCGCAGTGACACTGCTACGTGTAGAATGGCTGGGCGCGATTCCTGACACGGACGTCAACGTCAAACCAGCTTCCCCGCCTAGTGCTACGTCCATCCCCGTCGTAAATCCTTCATGTAGATACGCCAATTTCACGCAACGGTTCCTGTCAAGCGCGTGGCCCCGACATGGTAATCCCATCGTGTGTTTCACGTCCGTATAGAATGAGTCTAAGATTGAAACTGATCACGGCATAACAAACTAAAATTTGTAATTATATTACTTCACCTTTGCCAACATTCAAATAAAACAGAGTATATTCACAGTTAAATTTTAATCAAAGCTTAATTTCTGACAAAAGGAGTCTTTTTTGTAAATAAATTGAAAGTTTTTAGAGGAATTTAACCGGTCCAAGAAATCAGCAACACCCTATATACCAAACTGCTTGTATCAATGAGTGAAAAATGTCTATTTATCTTTATATAGAAATAATATAAACACGATAACCCATGATAGTTCTGTTAGTTATTCAAATATGCTGATGGCTATAGAGATTTAAAGATTAAAATGTGAGTAGCAACACCACTTGAAAAAGGCACATTGACCCAGGAATAGGAATAGCTTATAATCTGTATTTATGCCGTCTTGCTTGTTTTAGTTAGCCCTGAAATAGCACAATGGTATAATATCAACGCTAAAAAGCTATTATGACTATAATCCAAATATAATTTAGCAGGATCAGAGAAAAAATTATAGTAGAACCAGAAAAGAAATAACAAGGCAACTGCTAAGTAATTATTTGAATGCCCTTAAAATCTAGGATTCTACTTTACGTGAAATAAAGGATAAAAGTTCCTAAAAGATAATATGAGATTTCCTCTAACGACAATGGTATAATAAATTGAGAAGTTTACACTCTTAAGCTGTTTCAGACAATGACTTATTGAATAAAATATACTATGGTTTTTCTGTAAAAGAGGCACACCTTTCAAAACTGTTTCAGGGTTTCCAAGCTAGTAAACAAACTCTTGAACGATATTTTAACTGGCCATAAAATTGAAGTTGTTAAGTAAAATTACTTTCCTCCTAAATGCCTTGTGTATATTCTAACCGCATAAATTTTAATATAATTTAACGATTCTCTATAAAAAAATGGAAAATTTAAATGACCTAAAGAATTTAAGTATTGTGAAAAACTGTTAGATAGGTATAATAGTGTCTTAAAAATATTTTACACAGTATAAATGACAATAAACAATCCGTAAGAAGTTCTAAGACATCTAGCCTCAAGCCTTTGGTTCCACGTCTTCCAAAAGTGGACACATGTTCTCAAACTCATCGTCCATACTAGAGTCCCCGATCATCAGATTTGGTACTCGACAATCACCATTCACATCCACTGTTTTTAAATTCAACTCGGAGTTATGTTTTTGAGTCCTTCTATCGACTATATTACACTTTTTGGGCATGAAGAACTCTTCCACTGGTTCATTTTCCAGCTTTTCAACTTCAATGATCTCCAACTTAGTAGAGTTATTTAATATCAGTTGCTGCGACTCGGCGGGCTCGTTGGAAATTTCTACAATCCTAGAGTTGGACGGTGGGTAGTTGGATAGAAAATCTGTAATTTCAAAATAACATATCATTTAGCATCATTAAAGAAAGTCCAAACCAAAATACCAAACTTTGTCAGACAGAGTAAGTCAAGACTGCTATTAGAATGCAAACTGCAGTGTCAATTGATCAAAATTTCTCAAAGACCAGGAGAGCGTAGTCAAGAATATTGAAAATTTAATATTTATGCACAAGTATGAAACAGCGTATGACTTAATAATGTTCAACAAACATTTCCATAATGTATTTGAGCTTAGTTTGTAAACCATTCTCTGTAGTAAAAAAAAAATCAGAAGAACTCCAACAATCCGAATCAATTGG